CATAGTGGGGTCTCTGGTGTGAAACTGGGCTCGATGGGCTCTGCCTGGGGACAGAGGGTGTTCCAGCCCCAGGCAGAGATGGCTCTGGTTCAGTGTCCCAATTCCCTGCAGGTGGACCCCGCGTGCCTGGTGCCTGCCTCTCCCAACCCTGCCAGAATGCCGGCAGCTGCCTGGAGACGGAGCAGGGCTACATCTGTGAATGCCAGGAGGGTTACAGTGGGCAGGATTGTCGAGACAGTGAGTACTGGGAGGTCTCTGGTGGGATGCCAAGTCTCTAGGGGAGCCCTCGTGCTCTGGAGAGGGAGAAGCAGCAGCCCCGCAGAGCCCATTCAGGGCTTCTGGGCTGAACTTGAAGAAGGCTGTGCCTGGGTTTCTGGCGGGGAATTTGGAATTTGTGGCTAATGCCTACCTGAGCTACTCCTATGGATGGCATCCAGCAAGGCTGCTTGGCTGTCCCAGCCCTGCAATCAGAAGGGGTTCTGGGAAGCTCCCGTCTCCTCTCTTGCAGAACTCTTGGAGGGCTGCGAGTGTCGCAACGGCGGCAGTTGTCTGGAAGGGAACGTCACCATGTGCCAGTGCCCACCTGGTTTTTTTGGTCTTCTCTGTGAATTTGGTAGGTGAAGGCTTCTCACTTGTGTTTGTTCCTTCTCTGCAATGCTTGAGCTGGGCAAACAAGGGGAGACTGTGCCCGTGCCTGAGCCTAGCACAGTACCACAGGCACACACAGAAGCTGAGCTTGGAAATACTGTCCGCTGGGGAGGAGGCAGTGCATCCCATCTCTGTCCCCGCCTTGAGCTGTTCCTGTCGCAGCCCCTGGCCCCAGCCCGGCTCCCTGGGGTGGGGAGAGGAACCACAACCCTCCTGCACTCCTGCTCCAAAGCTCGCTGGGCATCCAGGCTGGCCCTTCCCGTTGGCATGGTCTGAGGCTGTGGGGTACAGAGGGCCCCTCCTGTCTCATCAGACCCCTCGGAGTCAGGGACCCCCTGTTTCTGGCCAGGCAGCCAGCTTGGGTGTCTGTCTGGTGCCGGCTGACAGAGGCTGGCGCTCCCATGTGTTTGCAGAAGTCACCACCACACCGTGCAACATGAACACGCAGTGCCCGGACGGTGGGTACTGCATGGAGTACGGCGGGAGCTCCCTCTGCGTCTGCCACACTGACTACGGCACCAACCACAGTAAGTCTCATCTGTGGGGACCAGCTCCAGGGAGGGACATGAGACAGGAGGAAGGATACCGTCACCAGCTGGGGAGCAGCCCTCACGCCCCAGGTCGTACGTCTTCAGTGATGCAATGCATTTGGCTTTGCAGCGATGCCATCCCCCTGCGACTCGGAGCCCTGCCTGAATGGGGGGTCCTGCGAGGTTCATGATGACTCGTACACCTGCGAGTGTCCTCAAGGCTTCCTGGGCAAGCACTGTGAGAAAGGTACCTGCACGAAGCTCCCTGCCAGCTCCTGGGGCTGGGAAGAAAGCTTGGACCCTTGCGGGAGATGAGTGGCTGCTTGCTGAGCTGCAGCTGGAAGGGGGTGCAAGTTATCCTGTCCCTCCTATCCCGCCGATTCCACCCCATCCCATCCTGCAGGGTGGAGGGAGGATTGCCCCGCCCCTGACATTGGCCCCAGCCGATCTGGTGGTTTTATTTCCTCTACAACACCATCAGTGTTGGAGTTTTTTTTACACACTGGAGCTTCTGGCCTCAGGAACAGCTGCCAGTCCCCTGGCATCACGCACCCATGTTCCCCTGAGACCCCAGCCCGTGTCTGCACGCGTGTTATCTCACAATGTCACCGAGCCCAGGGCTACAAGGCTCCGGTGCTTTCCCGCAGCGAGGAGTCTGATGGGATGCTGGCGGGAGGCGGCACCCCTCAGCGTGCTGGCAGCGGTGGGTGATCCCCCGCTCTTGGCATTCTCTCTGCAGCCAAGCCCCGACTCTGCAGCACGGGGCCCTGTCGCAACGGGGGTACCTGCCGGGAGGCGGATGGCGAGTACCACTGCACCTGCCCTTACCGCTTCACTGGCAAGCACTGTGAGATAGGTACGGCCCCCCCAGCCCCTGCCCGGGAGTAGAAGCGGCAATCGTCCTGTTCGCCGCTCAGGCTCAGCTTCTGCCTTGCCCTCTGCCCCCAGGGAAGCCGGACCCCTGCGCCTCGGGGCCCTGCCAGAACGGCGGCACCTGCTTCCACTACATTGGCAAGTACAAGTGTGACTGTCCCCCGGGCTACGCCGGTCGGCACTGTGAGATCGGTAGGTGTGAGCAGGGCCTGCCAGCGCGGGGGGGCTGCCTGGGGGTGTGATGGGGCTGCCGTGGAGCTGACACCCATAGCAGCAGCAAGTGAGCATCGCTGCTTGCTTCAACCCTCCTTCCCTGGAATTTGAAGTGCTTTGACTCTTCGTTGCACCCTGACAGAGGGCAGGGCGGCACTACCAGAGGGACAGAGGCTGGGGGTTTCGGGCTCTGCCAGCTCCGCAGCGGTCGCTTTTTGCTCCACTCTTCTAGTGCCCTCCCCGTGCTTCCTCAGCCCCTGCGAGAACGGCGCTACCTGTGAGGACCTTGGCGGGGGCTACGCTTGCACATGTCCCGTGGGCTACACAGGGAAGCACTGCCAGGCTGGTAAGGGTCCTGCGCCATCCCTGCCAGCCGGGGGGGGCTGGGGTGACACCGGGGGCCCTGCTCACTCCCGCGTCTCTCTGCAGAGGTCGACTGTGGCATCCCCAGCGAGGTGAAGCACGCCCAGGCCTCATTCAACTCCACCAGAGTGGGCTCACTGGTTGAATACCAGTGTGAGCTGGGCTACACCCTCAGTCAGCACAACCACCCCCGTGTCTGCCGCTTGCCAGGCATCTGGAGTGACCCCCCTGAATGCGACGGTGAGGAGCCCTGGGGCACTGTCCCCATGGGCTGTGGTCACAGCCATGGCTTGGTGACCCCAGGATGTGTTCTCCAGCCCTCTCCTGCCTGTGTCTGCAGACAGAGCAGGGTCCCCTGCTGCCTGCCCAGTGCTCACATCTCTCGCCTTGTCTTTCCCCTGCCCGAATGCCTGCAGAGATCGATGAGTGCCAGTCCCAGCCTTGCCTCAATGGTGGCCGGTGCAAGGACCGCATCGCCAAGTTCCTGTGCCTGTGTGAGCCAGGTTACACCGGCCAGCACTGCGAGCTGGGTAAGACACGGGGCTGGGTACTGCCAGGGCCACGGCAGGCGGCTGTAGCAAAGCCTTCCTTGCCCCCCCAGCCCACAGGGAGCAACAGCAGGCCGGGAGCTAGGTGCCTGTGGTTGCGTGCGCTGGCTTCGCTCTCCTGCCTGTGCACTTGGACCAGGCTGTGGGGAGAGCTCTGGGAGGAGACACTGGTCTGGGTCAGGCAGGGCTGCTGGGGTATGTGCGCTACCTGTGCCCCCCGTTAATGGATGCTGTATGGCATCCCCATCAGTGATGGAGCAAGGACTTACTCTGACATGTCTTAAGCTTGTACAGAGAAGCCCCAGATCTTGGGATCTGGGCAGGAAGTGCCCTGCTTGGCTCCAAAGGCAGGAGAGCAAGGTTGCAGGAGGGCACGGGTTGAAGGGGGTGACAGCCAACACGGGGGCTGGTGGGACTCTGTGGCAGGTGGCTCTTGCCTGGCTCCCCAGGGCCTGGCAGAGGCCGGTGGTGGGAGAAGGTGGGATACCCAGGGGGGGCTAGACAATGGGGTGTGCTGTAGGCAGCCTAAGGGACAGCCTAACACTGACAGCCATCCCCAGGCATCCCTGCGGGCTTATCCCCGTGCCCAGCTCCCGCTGCAGCCCCCACGTAGTGGGCTTCTGCTGGCCCCAGGAGCGGGGCTGTTCCTGGCTGGTGGGCTTGGGGTAGCGAGTGCCGTGGGGATGGTCCGCGCTGCCTCTCTGAGCCGCCGTGCCCTGCCGCCAGCCCCGTCCCTGTGCTGAGCCGGCGCCTCTCCTCCTGCCACTCCCCAGATGTCGACGAGTGCCAGTCGGAGCCCTGCAAGAATGGTGGGACCTGCCAGGACCTCTCCGCGTCCTTTGCTTGCTACTGTCCCGAGGGCTTTGTGGGGACCCAGTGTGAGACAGGTAGGGACTCGCCCTTACCAGGGCAGCGACAGGCTGGGCTGTGGGG